TTTTCCAAGGCGGACATTATTCATTTACCGAGGCGGACATTTCTGCCTGCCATGGTAAATCAATTTACCGTGGCGGGCGTCCTAAGACGTCCGCCACGGAAAATGCCCTATTTTCCACGGCGGGCATATTAAGACGTTCGCCACGGTAAATACCATGGCGGGCATCCTTAAGTGCCCGCCTCGTAAAACTTTTGGCCCAGTTCGGAGCCCAGGCACAGCCCCTACCGGGTTTATATATAAGGGCAAACTTAGGTTCCCTCAATCTCACCCAACTCCCTCACAGCAGCCGAGAGCGGCGGCGACCTCTATCTCTCTGTCTCCCCCCAACTCCGAGCACCGCCCCTCCACCTCTCTCTCCAGGACGCCCTCTATCTTTCTCTGTCTCCCCAACTCTGAGCACAGCCATGGAAGCCGATGACGCGACGTGGGAGGCGTGGAGAGCGAGGGCGGAGCGAGGTACACGTGGTGCGCGCGGGCTGGGTCTCCGGCGGCTCCGGCCCCCTCCTCCCGGCGAAGTGGTCACCGGCAACCGGCGGCGCGTCCTCCGATGGATTTGGCCTCAGGGCCCGTGGATCCAGTGGCGGATCGAAGGTGGCGGCGCATCCTCCTTCTCCTAGCATGCAGCGGCCTTCTTCCATGGCGGTGGGCCTAGCCCTCCTTCTCCAAGCGTCCGACGGCCGCGTTGTCCGAAACGGATCTAGCCTCGGGGCCGCGGATCCGTCATCGCCGTGGATCACGGCAATGGCGGTGGAGAGTGCGGCGGCGTGGTGGCGGCGCGAAAACGCAGCGATCTGCGGCGGATGGGCTCGACGTCGGGCCTAGATGGGCTTGCATTGGGCTCTCTATTTTTTTGTATTTTACGTTTACCTCGGCGGGCAATCGGGGTCCGTCCGCGGTAAATCTTGATTTACCGTGATGATCTGGGTGTAAGCGAGACACGATTGCTTCGCCGCTGAAAACCAGAATCCGCCCGTCGGCGGTTAAACTTTGTGTACTAGTGCCTCTCCTGCCCCTACTTAAAGGAAAGGGAACATCAGTTAAGGAAGGGCGCCATGATCGGGGAAAGCGCGGCGGAGCAAAAATTCTCTCTCTTTTCCATTTAATGCAGATTTGGCGTGCGGAACCGATGAGGCAGCCACCGCCACCTTCGATGGAACGGCTCTGATTGGGCGGGGCGTGGCCTAGCCGTGGCCCACCACCACCGCCACGATCAACCACTACCACCACGGCGGACACGAGGAACCGATCGCGCCCGCTTGCGTGTGAGCGGATTCGCTTCCCAGGGACGGACACAGGAGACCAAAAATGAAATCTCCACCGGAGACCAACGGCCCCCACAGAGTCGATCGAAGTCGCTCGGTATCCACACCAGGGCATAGGTAGGAAGCGAAGGGACGCCCCATGTAGGCCATGCCGACTCTATCATGAACGACGAGCATGGGTCCCGGTCGGACGTTTCGGCCCGAAGCTCTTGAGCCCCGTCCTCCGATCGTTAAGGTAAACACTATAAAAACCCTCTATTTCTTTAAATCATTCATACATCCATCGCCGCATTCATTCCATCGCCTAAACCCCTGGACGATTAGGGCATGAACACGCCCGAGGGCTCGGGAACTAAGCATCGCACATGCGGCCGAGATGCATCGAGAATGCTCCGTGTTGCATCCGCAAGCGGCGGTTGCCTCATTCGACATGAGCAACGAATAGAGCTAGGGGAGAAAACCGTAAAATGAGCACCGTCAGTGCCCCTCGCCCGGTCCGATGAGACAGTCATCTCAAACTTCTCGTTCGATCTTGAACCTCTCGCTAGGCCCATAAAATCTCCATCGAGGGGAGGCCGTTAGGCCACTGGGTCGATCTCTGGAGCGACCTAGGCATCTGTCGGGTTCAGAGTAAAGGAGTAGTGGAATGTCACAAGAGGGTTATGCCAACCCCGTCCACGAGCAGCGGACCCGGATTCCACTCGATCACACCCGTTAAGCGAACTCACTGAGCTAGTCTTGAGCCCGGCGATCGGGACGAGGCGATGAAACTCAGCCCCTCCGGTTGTGAGGAGCCGAGGATGAAGGTAATCTGAATACTCACGCCGACCCCCACGAAGGCCCGATAAGGGCTCGGGGCTCAAGACAAATGCCAAGGACAGCGACCTTGTACTCGCCGAGATCCATGACTCCGACTCGCCCGGTCCCACGGCGCTGACGCCGGAGATCCGCGAAACATCGCCTCTTCCGATCTTTAACCAAACTAACTATGCTTCGGCTTCAAAAGGCTTCACTTCCGACTTCGCTCCAAAAACCTTGGGACCGCGACTCGAACTTCGTGTCGGCGGGATCTATGACATCCGGCTTCAGCTCTTGGGACCGCGACTCGAACTTCGCATCGGCAGGATCTATGACATCCGGCTCGGCTCTTGGGACCGCGACCCGAACTCGCGCGCCGGCGGGATCTCGACATCCGGCTACGGCTCTTGGGACCCGCGACCACTGAACTCACGTCGGCGAGGATCTATGACATCCGGCTCGGCTCCACAGGACCGCGACTCCTAAACTCTGCATCGCGGCTTCACTTCCGGCTGCGCTCCAATAAACACAGGACCGCGACTCCTAAACTCACAGTAACGGCTTCACTTAGGATCCACGAGCTCGGCTCGTCCGATTCTGAACTAACTAAACTAACTCTCTCGATCCACGGCGCGCGCCGGCGCTTGGGTCCGTTCAGGGGTCGCCTCGCTCGATCCCACAGTGCGCGTCGGCGCCAAAGATCGATGAACTTCGACATGTCGAACCGAGCTATCTCCATCCGTGGCGCCGCACCGACGCCTTGAGGTTTGTCCCGACTAACCTTCTCACCGGTCCACGGCGCGCACCGGCGCCCGGGGATCGATGAAGTTCTGTCTCAATCAAATCGTCGCACCTCACCACCTCGGTGCGCAATGACACCGTGGTTAAACAAAAACCATCTCAAAACTAAAAACATGCACACGCCCACTTTGAAACAACACCCCAAATTGGTTTGCCCAAACCGCCCGAGGGCTCGAGGGCTACACCCATGGGAGTGCGCTCACGCCGCGACCACGCGACCTGCTGAAAAACCTCCCACGACAACACGGAAAACCCTCCACCGGTTACGCCCGAACCGCCGGGGCTTCGGGGGCTACAGACTACATGAGTCTTCGCACAGCACCACGCCAGCAAGAAAAAAAATCCCCGAGCGATTCCGCTCAAATCGCCCGGGGTCTCGGGGCTCTGTGGGTTCATAAACCCGGGGTCCCTCGGGGACCGGCTTCCATGCCAGGGGCTCGGCCGGAAAAGCAACACGTAATTCATGGGCGGCCCAGAGTCTAAAACACAATGGGCCAAAAGGACAAGTCCGATCGCCCGGGAAGGTCTACCAAAAGTACAAGCGCCCGCTCGTCAAATTTCTTCGGCCCACCTCTCCGGCCGGAGCATCCGCCTTGGGCACCGGCCGCCTCGGGTGGTCTCTCGTCGAAGAAGCCTAGCCCAAAACACCGCTTCCTACTCCGACCCCGTCTCCGATCGGGGACCCGTGGGAAGGCTGCTTACCACTCTTCTCCGATTGGCGGCGAGGCACGACTAAAGGCCATCCGACCGGGGACGCCCGCTTCGGAAGGACGGCGCATAAGCGGAGAAGGCGATGCACAAAGTCAAACCACGATATCGGGACCATACCACGCTGCGCTGCGGAAGCAGTGCTCCTCAACCGCCTACGACACAAAACAGTGTTATAGGCACCGACATTTGTGTCTCTGATGTGTAAGCGCCATTGGGCTCCCATACGGCAAAAAGCCCCCACATACCTCTCTCTCGGGGCATCGCTAGTGGGCGCCGGGGTTCACCATACACGGTACAGAGGTAGCGTACAAAACAAACTATGGATTTGAAAACATATAGTCAATAATTCATAAGTTTATCACAATTGTATATATGTCTATTATATTTACAAAATTGAACAAAGACAAAAAAAAAATATGTGCAATTTAATTTAAATAACTTTTGTTAGTAAGAGATATTAAACAATAATCCATGCTTATGTCTTCTATGATTCTCACCCGTAGGAGCATGGATTGATAGACTAGTATAGTCAAATGATGAAAGAACCGTGTTATATACAGGTAAGCTAAGGCTTTTTACAAATATAAAAGCCTCAACTTGGCTAAGGATGAATTTTATTATTTGCCCATATTATTATATACTTGCTGGTGTGAGGATTGTAGATAAGTTGTTTCAGTGACCTTCCGATCCCTTCGTTACATATGAACAAGTATGTATTTTTTAATAGATTTGGAAGTAGTTGAAGCCGTCATGCTCTCACTGTGGTGAACACATGTGATTGCCAAATTCCTAGTCTCTCAATATCCAAGCCTTTATAGTAGAGAAACTAGCTGTAGTTCTGGTTCTCAACCCCTTTAGTTTCTATGCAATCAGGACTAAAGGTCTCAATTTTTACTCCCGATTCCTACAACTGGGGGACTAAAGGTCTCGATTCTTGAGTAAAAAAAAGATGCGGCTATAGAGATTAGAACCCAAGACCTCTCATTTTAGCCCTTGTGCGTGTTGCCATCTCAACTTCCATCACACATCTAATAACTTAGAAAATGTACGATTTCCTTTTAAATCGCTCTAAAGAAACCTTTAGTCAGGTTAGGTGTCTCAAATCGCTTTTAGTCCTAGTTCGTGTGTCAAAACAGGACTAAATAAAGCTTCTCGCCTTGACATTAACGCCTTGGTAACCGTTACAACCGAGACTAAAAGGTGGTATTCTCTGTTTGTATTACAAACTGAGACTAAATGCTGTTGTCCCTTTAGTCACGGTTATAATTTTAAAGTCAGGACTAAATACTTTTTGGCTATCGATGAAAGGTCGTCCATTACTGCGATGCGTACAACATTACCAAAATCAAAAACTTAGTAACTAATTAATGAACCATGCATAACTGCTATCACGTACGTGTGCAGGTTCTTGAGGAGGTGAGGCGGCTGATGGAGTTGTACAAGGAGGAGGCGACGAGCATCACCATCACCGGCCACAGCCTCGGCGCGTCGCTCGCCACCCTGAATGCCATCGACATCGCCGCCAACGGCGTGAACGCCCCCTCCAGCTCCTCCCAGCCGCCGTGCCCGGTGACGGCAATCGTGTTCGCGAGCCCGCACGTTGGGAACCTCACCTTCAGGGAGGCCTTCCGGTCGTTCCCTGACCTCAGGGCGCTCCACGTGAAGAACGCCGGCGACATCGTGCACACGTACCCGCTCATCAGCTACTTCGACGTGGCGGTGCCGCTGCCCATCGCCACGGCCCGGTCGCCGTACCTGCGCCACCCGGGGACGCTGCAGACGCTCCACAACCTCGAGTGCTACCTGCACGGCGTCGCCGGCGAGCAGGGCAGCGCCGGAGGGTTCAGGCTGGAGGTGGACCGCGACGTGGCGCTGGTGAACAAGCGCGTCGACGCGCTCAGGGACGAGTACCGGTGCCGGCGGAGTGGTGGTCTGCTCAGCACAAGGGCATGGTCCGCGGCGCCGACGGCCACTGGACGCTCCAGGACTTCAAGCAAATCTAGCTAGTCAAGTTTGAAATGCCTCTCGTGAATACAAACATATATAAGCAGTATGCTCATATATACTGTCATACAGAATGCGTGAATAACAGTACCCAAATTGCTCAGGATTTACGATGATTTATAATTAAGTTTATTATGTGGAAACTGCGATTTATAAGTTTGTTATGTGTTCATTTTCTGTAGTTAAGCTGGGCGTCTATACAATTAGATATCCTCGAAGTCCTTGAGCATCCAGTGGCCGTCGGCACCCCTGACCATCCACTTGTTCTCGGGCACCCACCAGTTCGCCGGCACCGGGTACTCATCTCTGAGCTCGTCGGCGCCCTTGTTCACCAGCGCCACGTCGCGGTCCACCTCCAGCCTCAACCCTCCGGCGCTGCCCTGCTCGCCAGCGACGCCGTGCAGGTAGCACTCGAGGTTGTGGAGCGTCTGCGGCGTGCCCGGCGGCCGCAGGCACTACCGGAATCGAAGGCTTTGCCGAGTGTCATATTCTTTGCCGAGTGTATTTTATCGGACACTCGGAAACCATCTCTTTGCCGAGTGCCAAACTAAAAACACTCGGCAAAGATTCTAACACTCGGCAAACTCTCTGTTTGCCGAGTGCCTTTACTAAAAAACACTTTCGGTAAACATATTACGACACTCGACAATTCTCTTTGAAAAACACTTTCGGCAAACTCCGGCACTTTCGGCAAATATGGGAAAAAACACTCGGCAAATTACGATTACTACGGCAAATATCGCGCCATGCGTGTCCCTCCATGAAAAGAGAAAAAACAATAAAAAAAAATAAAAAATCCTTTGCCAAGTGTCAAATCTAGGACACTCGGCAAACACTGCTTTGCCGAGTGTCAGATCTAGGACACTCGGCAAAGCTTCTATACTATATAACCACGATGACCGTCCTCGGGGCGCCAGCCCTCTGCACTTCATCGTGCTCCCCTCTCCAGCTGCCTCCGCCCCTCCCTCCTCCTCCTTGCCAGCGCCACCTCCTCCTTCCCTCCTCCCTCTCCGGCGCCCGCCTTCCCGCCCCCCCCCCCTCTCGCCGTGCCCCCTCCCCTCCCTCTCCGCCGCTGGGATCCCGACGCCCGCCGCCCCCGCCCCCAAGAGGGCTCCCCACCAGTCTTGCCGTCGGAAGACGCCACCTCGAGGTGGATCTCCGGCCTTGCGCGCCACCACTGTCGTCATGAGGAAGCTTCCCCACGCCTGCACTGCTAGCCGCGGCCGCCTGAGGTGGATCCCCAAGCCAGGCGCCACCGGCAGCCGCCGCCACGAGGGATCTCCGTCGGCCGCGCCGCCGATTGCCGCCGCCCGAGGTTGCTTCCCCACATCTGCGTCGCCCGGTCGCCCGCCCCCGAGGGATCCCAGCGACCGCACCCTCGCCATCCCGAAGGGGCTCCCCACGCCCTCGCCTCCCTCGCCCCAGGGCTCCCAGCGCCCATCGGCCGCCTGGTCCTCTCCCGATCTGGATAAGGTGTCCTGTTTCTCTCTCCCAATCTCCTTCTCAGATCTGGACTGATGTTTCTTTCCAGAGTAATCATAAACATATTATTCTAACTTGTGATTCAGCAATAGGTGTCGATGTTCTGACCTCCAGGGAAGAAGCAAGCAAGCTTGATGCTTCAAGTACTAGGTATAAAAGACATTTTCCTCATTTCCTGTAATTAGGTCTTGTGTTGATGGTTTTATGCTGCCTTCGATTTGGGTATTCAGTGGAGTAATGACGTTATTTTTTTACACAATCTCATCTTAGTATCTGAGTACTATGTCTTCGTGTCTGTTGAATTTTGGGTCATACCGGGGACTGAGATTGTACCAGACTAAACATGCTTTGAATTTTCTAGAGTTCTCTACAATGATGTACACCAACTGAAACTTCTGTACTGGAGTATTTTAATTTCCACACCAACTGAAACTTCTGTACTGGAGTATTTTAATTTCCCTTTCAGCCTTGTGTATAGTTAGGTGTTTGCTTGTCTTCTTGGTATTGGCATTTTATACAGATGATTTTCTGAGGCATTTTGTGTTTAACAGGCAGCCCATCCGTGAAGATATAATTAGTATTTATGCATTTAACAGTGGAATAGTTCAAATACGATACTACAAATTTTAGTTATTCTTTCTATTTACTATTCTGTGCAGCTTATCTTTTTTTACTATTGTCTGTGTACATGTACTGAACACCTTCCATACTGAACATACGTAACCTGTAAATTTCTATCATCTAGCTTGTGTTTGGTTGAATTAGATTTTAGTTGATACATGTACTAAAATGCTGCATAATTATAGTTCTAGAATTTTATCACGTTTCTTCAAATACATTGTGATAAGTGTGTTCAAATGCTCTAAGCATAAAGATTGATATACATAGCTGTGGAAGCATATTTTGATACAGAAACTGATTGCTAGAATACGTCCTCTCTGATTGCCCTTCCTTTACTGAAAATTGGCACATCTCATATGCAGATATTGTTCATGCAATCTGAAATTTAGAGCTGTAGTGATGTTCCATGCAGATAGTGTTCATATCCAGATACAGATAGTGTTCATGCAATCTCATATTTAATTGTACTTTAGCGATGTTTTATATTACTTAGGGCTGTTCATGGTCTTTAGAGAATCAAGTTAATTTTAGGTGATAAGCATTTCTTTAGCATTTTGATGTAAACTCAAGATAAATTCCTACAAAGCATCTGTTTGTCTACATTTCTTGTAATTACCGACATACAGTACTATGTTCACATTTCTTCCTTCTTGCAGCAGTGAAGAAGCTAGTTTCATAAAGAATGGAGTAGAAGACATGTCTACTGGGGTGTTGATGGTTTTACCTTCACTATTTTGGTAGCATAGTTTTTGAATTTTTTCTGGACGTTGATTCTTGTGAACTTGTACCAGTCATTAGTCTCTTAAATTTGTCATCTTCATTTCTATGTCCATGTGGTTATTATGAGAATTATGTTACCAGGAGCATGATGTGCATGCAGATATGGTGTACTAAGAGTGTTTTGTATGGCAGCTATTAAACTGAAATATGCTGAGAAAAAAATTATTTTTTTCTTTGGAAAATAGGTTTGCCAAGTGTAATTCCTAAAAACACTCGGCAAACAATAATGGTATGCTAAGAAAAAAAATTTATTTTTATTCTTTGGAAAATAGGTTTGCCGAGTGTAATTCCTAAAAACACTCGGCAAACAATAATCCTTTGCCGAGTGTATTTTGAAAAACACTCGGCAAACCACTTTTTCTGTCGAGTGTCAAATTTGACACTCGGCAAACCATTTACCGAGTGCGCGATAAAAAACACTCGGCAAATACTTTTTTGCCGACACTGTAGATACCGTGTGCTGTTTGCCGAGTGTTATATTCGGTAAAGCCTTTGCTGAGTGTTTTTTTGGCACACGGCAAAGTCATTGCTTCCGGTAGTGAGGTAAGGCGACCGGCCTGTGGCGATGGGCAGCACCACGGCCACATCCACGTACGTGAGCGGCGGGACCACCGGCACGACGTCGCCAGCGTTCTTCACGTGGAGGGCCCTCAGGTCCCGGAAGGAGCCGAAGGCTGCCTTGAAGAAACAGTCCCCGACGTGCAGGCACGCGAACACGATGGCCGTCACCGGGCACAGCGACTGAGAGGATCTGGTGCTGGCGGGGGCGTTCAGGCCATTGGCGGCGATGTCGACGGTGTTCAGGGTAGCAAGCGCAGCGCCGAGGCTGTGGCCGACGACGGTGAATGCTCGTCACTTCGTCCTTGTGCAACTCCATCAGCCTCCTCACCTCCTCAAAAACCTGCAGGTATGTAGAAGCATCACTATGGGATAAAGTAGTTTTGCTGAGTGCCAGGGGCACTCCGCAAAGGCCCAAAAACACTCGGCAAATGCTTTGCCGAGTGATGCTTTGCCGAGTGTAACACTCGGCATACAACACATGGCATTAATTTGTCGACAAACATAGTTTGCCGAGTGTTTTTTTATCGCGCACTCAGCAAATAGTTTGCCGAGTGTCAATAAACATTTGGCAAAAATAAACTCTCGGCAAAAAAATGGTAACGGGATGGCATGGTGACGGCGATTTCGCCGAGTGCACGACGGAAAAACATTCGGCAAAGTTTCTCAAGTTTGTCGAGTGTCAAGACGAAAACGCTCGGCAAAGTTTCTCAACTTTGCCAAGTGTCAAGCCTAAAACACAAACTTTGCCGAGTGTCAAGACCAAAACACTCGGCAACGTTTCTAAACTTTGCAGAGTGTCCAGCCCAAAACACTCGGCAAAGTTTCTAAACTTTGCCGAGTGTCAGGGCCATAACACTCGGCAAAGTTTGGTTTTGCCGAGTGTCACGCTCAAAACACTCGGCAAACAAGCGCGCAACGACCAGATTTTATGGTCACTTTGCCGAGTGTCCATTATAATACACTCGGCAAAACCAAAACACTCGGCAAAGAAGGTTCCCAGATAATAGAAAATGGCCTCTTCGCCGAGTGTTTTGCCTTGACACTCGGCAACTCCTCTCTTTGCCGAGTGTTACACTCAGCAAAGCGACCAAGACTCCCCTTTTTTACTAATCTGTCACATATAACGGACCCCTCTCAATTCACAATAAAACATCATCACAGGCATAATAAACCATCATCATAATTCACAATAAACCATCATCACAAGTCACAATAAACCATCATCATAATTTATAATAAACCATCATCATAAGTCACAAATGCAAATGCAATCACTGCGGAGGCCCTTGGAACCTCTGCGACAAATCCGGGTCTTGAGACTAATTATTCGATGCCGACGATTGATTTTGCACAAAAGAGAAGTATTCGAAACAGTGTTAGCTTCCTTTTTAACAGTGTTAGACTTCAGATTGCAAAGTGAATTTCAGTATCGAAAGGTGTGCATCTACAGCATACTGTAATTGTAATCACAACATTCAACACTAATGCAACACTTAAATTCGTGCTATGCACACAGCAGGCTACTTGCATGTTAAAAATAAGGGAATTAGCAAGCATCC